GGAATTTTCAGACAAAACGAAATGCGATTTATCAGAAATTTCAGATATTTGTTACGCGAAAACGAAATACCAATATCAGAAATTTTCAGGTAAAACGAAATGCGAATATCAGAAATTTTCAGATAGTGGTTGCGAAAGAAATTTTTTTTTCAGAGATTTGACGAAGTCCTACTTGATTTACTAATGAGTGATCAATAGATCAAGCAAGATGGCTACTTGATTGAGCGGGTCCTCTGAATGAGAGGTCCGCTCCGATACCAAACTGTTGCATACCGTATAGGTGCAGACCAGAACAAGAACCGACCTCTCAATACAAAGTACAAGATAGCGTAGCGGAAGACTTAGATACCAATGATCCGAACAATCAATATTGCAATGCAGCCCCGAACATACATCATCATCATCATTCCATGGTGTGAAGGGGTCTGGCGCTTCACACAGGAAGACTGCGCCAGCCCCAACCATACACAGACGAAGGAGATGGGGGTTAGACGAAGAAGAGGGGAAGATGGGGAATGTTGTCAACACCAAGTCTTCGGCACAGGCCCAAATAGTCCCTCGTCAAAATGTCTGAATCCCATGTCTGGATCCAATGTCGTCAAGTCTCAAGTCACAACTCTCTCTCTCTGTAGGAGTCCGCTGATACTGAGAAGTTAGGTGGTGAGAGGGGAAGAAGAGATGGTGGACTTAGAAGAGGAAGAAGAAGAACTCTCTCTCTCTCCCTCAGTCCAGTACTAACCTGTGAAGTTGGCGCCTTGATGCAGGTACCTCGAAGATGGAGCTGGAGCTGGAGCTATGGCGCCACAGGTAAGTCTCGCTGGCCTCCGCCAGCCATCTCTCTCCCACCTACCACTACCACCTACTACCGCCCAGCACTGAAGACTACCGCTATGGCTACTAGCGCCCAGCGCTGAAGACTATTGCTAGCGCTAAGCTACCTCCTGCAGCGCTCCTCCTGAGTGCTGCGGCCGAATCCTGAAGACTACCCGTGCCTACTGTCCAACTACCTACCCGTGAAGTGCATGGGAACTTCCTATGTACTACTCGGGTGCCTCTTGACTGCAGGCGAGGCAGTCCAGGAGGCTGCTCTTGCCAATGCCGAAGGGAGGCAGGGGCTGCCGCTGCAGCTCCTGCTTGAGCTGTCGTGGGGAACAGGCCAGAAATAGCCTGTTCYCGAAACCCTGTTTTTGTGCCTGAGTCTTAGGGTAKGTCGAACACAAYGAGGGCCTGAAAATGGCCCTCMGTTTCAGGCTGAAAAGCCTCTGGTCCTGAAAGGCCCAGAAATAGGCTGAAAACGGAATAGGGCCTGCAGGCCCTCGTTTTTCAGTTTCAGGCTGAAACGACCGGGGCCTGTAAGCCCTATTTTCTAGGCTTTTAGGCTGAAAGTGCGAAACGGGCCCTGCAGGCCCGTGTGGCTACGCCGTATGCCACCCCCCCCCCTCCTTGAAAGACCGAGCTTACCTGCGAGGGCGAAGTTGTCTGTATGAGGGAGGGACCACAGTCTGGGAGGGAGGGGCTGGTCGTGAAGCTTCCTGAGCTAACCTTTGCTTCTTATAATGCGCGTAGATCAGCGGTGCGGATGCTTTCAAATCTGTTCCTGAAATCCACCGAGTGTCGTCAGGATCGCATGCTTTGAATGTAACTTTGTACTGTCGCGGCTTGCTGCCGTACTTGCGATCGGTGATGACGCTGTCAACTTCCTGATGACCATCCATAGGAGGGTCCTACGATCGTCGGCCCGGAAAGTCGTCGCTCTTAGCTGGTTTGTATGTTGCCAGCTTCGAGGCGTGAAAGACTGGATGGACCGTCAGATGCGGGGGGATGTTGATCACAAATGAAGGGCCATTGGGCTCATCACCGGTGGCTGATGTTACGGGCCATGGTCCAAACCACTTGGGAAGCAGTTTGCGTGAGACATCCTGTTCCAGTGCAAACTCTTCCGCGCAAACCCAAACCAGGTCGCCGGCGCGGATGGGACATGGCACGCGATGCCTGTTGGCTTGCTGCTGCATGCGGACTTGAGCCTTTTGCATATTCGCGCGGGCTTGAGCCAGCAACTCCCTGTACTTCCGGACGGAAGCGGGAGAGCAAGCGGCATCGATGTCGGCTGGTTGTGGGAGGAGAAGGTCGGCGAAGATACGGCCTTTCCGTCCACCGTGGTGCAACTCGAATGGAGTCACGCCGATCGCCGGGTGCACCGAAGTGTTGTAGGCGAACTCGATGTCAGGGAGGCGGTCAACCCAATCTTTTTTCTGGTCCGGACGGATGAGCGTACGAAGCATCATTTGAACGGTTTGATAAGCCCGCTCCATTTGCCCGTCCGTCTGTGGATGCCGAGCCGAACTTGGTTTCATCTTCGTGCCGGACTCCTGCATGAGAGCAGTCCAAAATGCCGATATGAAGCGAGTGTCGCGGCCGCTGACTATGGCTTCTGGTACACCGTGGCCACAAATCCAACCGGTGTGCAAGAGGCGTGCTAGCTCGGGAGCCGTGGAGTAGTACTTGCAAGGGAGAAAACGCTCGTACTTACTCAATCGGTCCACGACCGTGAGGATGCCGTTGTGTCCGAGGCGGTCGCGGGGGAATGGTCCGGTGACATCCATGGCAATGGAGAGACCGGGTTCCTGCGGGATCGGCATCGGGCGCAGCTCACCGAAGGGGTTGCGGTTGCGGAGTTTGCTTCGTCGGCAATCTTCGCAAGAGTCGCAATACCTCGTGACGTCGGTGATGAGGTCGGGCCATCGGAATCGTTGTCGAAGTCGTTCAATAGTGCGGTTGACTCCGAAATGGCCGGCGAGTCGCGAATCATGATACTCGCGGAGGAGGCGAGTCCGAAGATGGCGGTCTCGTGGGACACATAGTAAGTCCTTGCCCCGCGAGTGTAGGAGCAAGTACCCGCCGGTGATGCGATAGTGGCTGGTCGACGGGTGATCCGAAGATAGCTGCGCATATAGCGTGGCGAAGTCTGGATCGGACTCATAGCCCTTGATGAAGTGTCGCTGGAGCTCCTCGTCGAATGCGAAGGCATGATGTGTCATAGCGCAAAGATCGGGTCTTCGCGCGAGTGCATCTGCTGCGCGATTGGAGAGGCCGGGAAGATGTTTCGGTGTGAAGTCAAATTGGTCGATGAAGTACATCCATCGTCCGATCGTGCTGCTCACCGTATCCTGCGTCTTGTAGTAAGTCAGTGGGTTGTCGTCCGTAACCCATGTGAACCTACGACGCCCAAGGAGGAAGTGCCGCTATCGCTTGAGAGCCATGACGAATGCGAGCAGCTCCTTTTTCCTTGCATCATCAAGCGAGTTGATGGGAGGCACTTTGTGGCTGAAATACTCCACAGGGTGCCAGTCGTCGCCGTCGTGTTGTTCCAAGACTGCCCCAATGCCATAGCCGGAAGCGTTAGTCGTTACTCTCGTCGGCAGGGTGGGGTTATAGATGCTAAGGACGGGTGCCATGAGCATGGCCGTCTTAAGTGCTTGGAATGACCGGCGTGCGTCATCATCGAATACGAATGTTACCTTTGGCGATTGTAATCTCGTCATAGGTGCAGCAATCCTTGAGTATCCGGTGATGAATCGCTGATAGTAGCCCCCCAACCCCATGAATGAACGAACGTCCATGGTGTTGGTGGGCGCGGGCCATACACGAAGGGCCTCGATCTTGTTCGCAAGCGGACGGATGCCTTGCGGCGTCACATAATGTCCCAAGTACTCCAGCTCCTGCCGCGCGAATTCGCATTTGTCGCGGTTGGCTTTGTACTTGGCTTGTCGTAGCCGCTCTAAAACGGTGCGTAGGTATTCCACATGCTCGTCCAAACTCCGTCTGTACACCAGGATGTCGTCGAGGTAGATAAGTACGAATCGATCCAGCATGTGTCGGAACTCCGTTGTCATAGCCGTTTGGAAAGTGGCCGGGGCATTCGTAAGGCCAAATGACATAACATTCGAAATGCCCATATCGCGTCTTAAACGCGGTCTTGTTGCGATCCTCCTTCCGGATCTCGAGTTGGTGATATCCCGACTTGAGGTCCAGCTTGGAGAAGAACTTGGCGCCGCCCAGTCGCTCGAGAAGGTCGTCGATGCGTGGGAGAGGGCCAGCGTTTTTGTTCGTCTGCGCGTTGAGCTTGCGATAATCGATGCACAACCGCAAATCCTTGTTCTTCTTTCGGACGAAGAGAACAGGAGCACTGTATGGCGATGAGCTAGGCCGTATCCAGCCTTTCTCTAGAAGGTCGTCGAGTTGTGCCCGTAGCACACTTAACTCTTCCTCGCTCATTCGGTAGATGCAACCGCGCGGAGGTACGGCCCCGTCCTCGAGGATGATCTCGTGGCGGATGGGCCGATCCGGTACTACTCCATGCGGGCCTTCGAACACGTCGCCGTAGGCATCGAGCAGCTCGGTGATGCGTGGATCCAAAGATGAGTCCGTCGGTGAAGCGTCATGGGGCGGGAGGGCGTGGAGAAAACACACCCCCATCTCCTCGATGTCGTCTCTGATGATGGAAGCTCGCATGCTTGCGACGGACACCACGTGACAGCTGATTGAAGGGTGAGGAGGAGCTACCGTGCATGGGACTAGTACTCCGTTCCGATCACGAACGTGAACGGTGCGGCGGTAGAAGTTCA